GCAGGGGCCGGTGTGCACCGTGTGGCCACCAGGGGGCAGCAGAGGCCCGGCCTTGGGACCCCACTGGTCACCGCCAACGTGGCAGCCAGAGTTGTGGGCCAGGCTGGGAAAGGGCAGCCCTGGGGGGTCTGGGCCTCTCTGGCTCTGCTGGCCATCCCTGCTGAGCTGCTCCCCAAGAAAGTGGGAGCCCCCAGCACCTTGCTCCCGTCACAGTAGGGTAGCTCATCCCCAAGGCCCAAAGCATGCTGTTTTTTTCCCCCAAAGAACCCTTTTTGGGGTCTCTTGTTCATAGTTAAGGAGCCCTGGTGGTACAGTGGTTAAGTGCTCGGCTGCTAACCAGAAGGTCAACGGTTTGAACCCCCCAGCCGCTCCACAGGAGAAAGATGCGACAGTCTGCTTGCATAAAGATTTACAGCCTCGGAAACCCTATGGGGCAGTTCTACGCTGTCCTGTAGGGTCGCTATGAATTGGAATGTAACTTGACGGCAGTGGGGTTTTTGTTCATAGTAAGTCCCCCCTCCTCTGTCCCACTCCTTCGCCCACACCTGGGAGCCCCACCTGTGAGGGCATTTACCAGATGCCACCTGGCTGTTTCCAAATGGTCCCCCAGACGGAAGAACCCGGCAAGACCTGTCCCGTCATCGCATGGCATCAGTGTGACATAGGCCCTGCACCGCAGGGTGAACGGAGCCACAGGACCAGTCCCCTAGGCACCCAGGACACGCCTGTTGGTCACATTTAAGTTGTGAAGGAGCCGGCCGCTTTCTGTGGGGCTGTCTGATGTAGAGTCCCTGTGTCCTGACATCTTGCCTCGCCCTTGCTGTGGGAGCCACCCTGGGCAGAGCTTTGATGTCCCTTTCATGTCTCCTTCACTTCCCGCCCGGCCTTCTTCAGCCCTTGTTTCCTGTTGGTGGCTGTTTCTGCCTGTGTTTGTCGCTGGGATGGCTGCACATGGCCCCCTGCGGCTGCAGCCCTGGCGGGTACCCGCTGACCTCGGGGGGTGTTGGTGCTGGCCCCGCAGGCAGTCCAGCCAAGCCCAGGTGGGCCTTGAGCCAGAGGGGATGCTGGAGGTGGGTAGGTCTGTGGTTTTCAGAACATTGTTTGTTTACAGCCTCTGGTTAACTGTGGAGACCTGTCCCCACGCTGGGTCCTGGTGGTTGCCTGTGTTCCAGGGCTGAGGGTCAGGATGGCCTGGGGCCCCGGCATGGTGAGACAGCACCAGGCGTCAGAGGGCCCTGCGGGGCGCTCTCCCAGCCACCCGTCTGCGCCCACAGGTATTCCAGCTTGCGGCCCACCTGGTGTACTGGGGCAAGGCCATCATCATCTACCCGCTGTGTGAGAACAATGTCTACATGCTGTCACCCAACGCCAGCGTGTGTCTGTGAGTGCCCTGCCCTGCTGTGGGGGCGGCTGTCAGCGCAGGAGGGGGCAAGGAGGCCTGGGTGGGGCCGGTCTCTCATGCCATCTCCTGTGCCACAGCTTCCCAGATGTGTGCGGCTGTGTGGGGAGGCGCGGGCAGTCAGTGCTCAGAGGGGGGTTCTGGCTCTGGCAGCCCCAGAGGAAGCCCTTGAGCTCCACCTAGCTGAGGGCCGTGTCACAGGTGGACTCGCATCATCTCTCCCGGGGTCCTGTGACCCCTTACTGCCACCAGACCGCAGCCCCGCCTCCCCGGCAAGGCCGTGCAGGGAGGGCATGGTTCCCTGGAGAGCTCAGCATGCAGGGTGAAGCACAGTGTGGGGTTTCTGCTGCTGAGCCCTGCATGCCGCCCGCTGCCCAGGTACTCCCCGCTGGCTGAACAGTTCTCCCGCCAGTTCCCGTCCCACGACCTGCCGTCTGTTCTCGCCAAGTTTTCCTTGCCTGTCTCCTTATCGGAATTCAGGAGCCCCCTGGCCCCCCCAGTCGCGGAGGTGAGTTGCAGAGCTCGGGGGGGGGGGCCGGGTGTGGCAGGTGCGGGCAGAGCGGCCCCCCTGTGCCCACCAGCAGTCCTGACCACAGGGACCCTCAGCTCCGCTGCTGCTGCTGCCAGCTTTGTTTTGGGGGCCTGACCTGCAGTGACGTCGTGCCTGCCTGTCCAGGGTGACGTGGATGTTCTGCTGGGACAGCACTGGGCACTCCTCTTTTCCAGGGAGGCCACCCTGGCTGTAGGGGGTGGAGCTCTAGTCAGGGGCTATTTGGAGACCCAGCTTGGCAGATGACAGAGCTGCGCTGGGCCCGCCTAGGGGTTTTCTCACAGATGGAGGATGCCAGGATGGCTTTTTCTCTGGAGCCTGGGCCTGGTGGCTGCAGGGTTTGAGGGTGTGATTGTCGGGACAGTTGGTGCCTGAATCCACTTGGCACTGAGAGGGCCTGAGCAGGACGGGCCTGGGGCCCCCTTCCAGGGCTGGGGCTTAAGAAATGGCAGGCCTGAGGTCTGTGGCCACGTCTATTCTCACAGCGGCAGTGGGCCCAGCGGGACAGGTGTTAAGGATGGACAGTTGGTATTCTCAAAGTTGTCTTCAAAAGTAAAGTGCTTGTTAGTAAGTGCCAGATCGGCCAGGCCGTGTCCCCTCTCAGGCTGAGTGAGGCATCCCAGTTCTTCTCTGCTCAGATGCAGCCTTTCCTGGTGCTGTTTCCAGGCACAGAGTCAGGCTAGCACTGAACGAAAGCCCCTTCATGTTCACGCACCCACCCCATCCCAGGCGGTGCTGGGGGCTGGCAGGCTCTCCCAGCAGAAGCTTCCATGGTATGTATATGGCAGATTTTTCAGGCCCTGCCCTTTCAAGGGGTGGAGCGAGCCTGTCAGGACCTCACAGGCCCAGGGTGGGGCCACCCTGCCTCCCCACCCCCTGCGTGGGGACAGGATCCACAATTGAACTTATGAAGCTGGTTTTCTTTCTTAGTTTTTCAGTGTAGGTGATTTACAGCCCGTTTACATTGTGTTGGGTTTTGACTACAGTTCGTCCCCTCCCACCCACTCCCGGGAGGCAGTCCAGAGGGCAGCTTCTTGGCCTTTCCCAGGACGTTCTGAACATGCTGTCAGCAGAGACTGTCACGTCTGTGCCTGATGATGCGTGTTGCACGTCTCCTTCCACATCTGGGAGGTGCTTTCACGCTGGGGAGGGGAGGGCAGGGCTGAGGTCAGTGCCACGCTCCAGGAGCCACCCAGCCTCAGCAGGGTCCCTGTCCCTGTCTTCCTTCTGGCACCCACTGGTGCAGGCTTTCAGAGTGATCCAGGGAGGGCCTTTCTGCTCTCGGGTCCAGCAGTGATAAGGAGGGCACAGAGCAAGAGGCGGAAGTCAGCTGAGGGGTGTGAGATGCCTGGGCTGTCCTGCCCCACTCTGGGGCAGCCCAGGGGTGGGATGGGCGCCATAGGTGTGATCTGGGTTGAGTGGGTGCTCTCTGACCCCGATGGAGGGAGAGTTTGCTTTGCAGAGCTGGCCAGCTCCAGGGCTCCTGTTACAAGGTGAGGGACCTTCTTGTCTTTGCTGCCCCCAGAGGTGACTTGTGGGGTCACGTCTGGGAAGGGAACGGGCTGGGGGAGCCCCTCCCCACTGCCGGCCTCGCCCACCTGCAGACCCAGCTCATCCAGATGGTGGTGTGGATGCTGCAGCAGCGGCTGCTCGTCCAGCTGCACACCTACGTCTGCCTGATGGCCGCGCCTCGTGAGGAGGAGGCCCGGCCCCGCGAGGACGACCTGCCTCTTCCTGCCCGCGTCGGGGGCCGCAGCCTTAGCACACCCAATGCCCTCAGCTTTGGCTCCCCAAGTAAGAGGACCTCCTGGGCATCTGTCTAGCCGTGAGGGGAGGGGGCACATGGCCACTGCTGTGAGTGACTGAGGCACGTTCCCGTGGCTGCACATATGCACAGACACGCATACTTACACTCATGTACACACACACGCGTATCCCCTACGTGTGTGCTCACACCCCCCACCCTGCCCTCCTCTCAGTGCAAGCACTGCCTACTCAGAGCCTCTGTTCAGGGTCCTCACACTGCTCCTCAGAGGGCGGGGCCCGTGTTCCGGGTTGACCACCCCATCAGAAGTTCAGGGAGAGATGGTGTCACACCCTGGGGTCGAGCTTCAGCCGAGCTCCTGGGCACTAAAGGGGCTTTGAAGGGACCATGGCATTCTCAAGCTGGAGTCGTCTGGGCCTGGAAACCCAGAGCCCTGACCTGCGTGCCCCACAGCCAGCAGTGACGACATGACCCTCACCAGCCCCAGCATGGACAACTCCAGTGCAGAGCTGCTCCCCAGTGGAGACTCGCCACTCAACAGGAGGATGACGGAGAACCTGCTGGCCAGCCTGGCAGAGCACGAGCGTGAGGCCATCCTCAGTGTGCCCGCTGCCCAGAACCCCGAGGACCTGCGCATGTTCGCCAGGTAGGGCTCCCTGGCTGGGTTGGGACCCCCATGTGGGGCAAGCAGTATGGGGTCGGGGTCAGTGCCTGGGGCCAGGGTCAGCGCCTGGGGCCAGGCGGGGCTGAGGCTGGTGCCCCCCCACCCCCCCAGGCTCCTGCATTACTTCCGGGGCCGCCACCACCTGGAGGAGATCATGTACAACGAGAACACGCGGCGATCCCAGCTGCTCATGCTCTTTGACAAGTTCCGAAGTGTGCTGGTGGTGACCATCCACGAGGACCCTGTCATTGCTGTCTTCCAGGCACTGCTGCAGTGAGCCCCGGCCCACCAGGCCCTAAGGCACAGCAGTAGGGGGGCTTCCCTCAGACCTCCCTCTTCCCGACTCTGCCTCCAGTCTCTGTGCCCCCTGCCCCTGGCAGGGACACCTTATCATCATCTGTCACTCCTCCCCCCGTGGCCGTGCCTCTGCCTGTCCAGCTGAGAACCTTCACACTTGGATGCCAGGGCTGAGCTGTCCTCTGTGCATGTCCCTGCAGGACAGGAGTGGGGTCCTCCACAGCAGGGCTGATGGGGGTGTCCAAGCCGGGCCTGGTGCCCTGCCCCCCCCCACCCCCTGCCGTTCCTGTCAGTCAGTGAGCAGAGCTGGCTTCAGACTCCTGCTGACACTGAGAGACTCCAGCCCAGACCCACATACCACTTTTCTAGAAACAAGCATTTATTTGGTTCCTGAATGATCGAAAGCCTGTTGGAGCAGACCCTTCGTTCAGGCCTGCATCTGCTCAGCTGTCCTGTCCACCACGCTGACAAAGGGGCTGCCCCGCACGTAGAAGCGCAGGGGCTTCTGGGCCCACTCCCCTGCACGGCTGACGCCCACCCGGGCCGCAGCCACCACAGCTGGCTTGGGTCCCGGGGGGCCACACTCCATCCACACAGCCCCATCTGTGGCCAGGTCCCGCTGGTCGAAGCTCTTGTCGATGGCCAGTGCCTGGCACAGCTTGGAGGGGCCGTTGCAGAGCTCGCGATCCTTGAGGGCTCGGCCAGAGGCGCCTTTCCCAAGGGTGCTACGGAGCCGCTGCATGGTCTCCAGGCCCCCCAGGGGCTCCAGTGCTCGCAGCAGGACACATGCCCCGTCCCCTGCAGGACAGATGGACAGGAAGCCGCCTCAGGGCTCCTGCTCCCCCCCAGATCCCCACGCACGCCCAATGCTGCAGGGGAACACAGCTGCCTTCTGGGAGGAAGGAGGGGTCATCTTGTGTGTCCAGACCCCTCAGTCCACCTCCTCTCCCTCCATGCCTACACCCACTGACTGGCCCACCCTGACCCCACTGTAGAGAACCCATGAAAATGCACCTGGGCGGGGGGTGTCTGGGATCGTTGACCCTCCTGGGATCCCCTCTCCCACCCATGTCAGAGACCCAGGATGGTGACAATCCAGAGCCCAGGGATCTGTCTGTCCAAATTATCTCTGTTCTGGAAGGCCCCTAGGTTCCCAGGACCAAAGGTCAAACAAGTGTGTTGAGCACCAGCGGAGCCCTCCAGAGACCCCTACCCAGACTCACATGTGCATCTCCCACCCCACACCAGTCTGAACCACTCCTGGGCCCCCTTCCCAGCTCCCAGATGCAGTCCCCCAGGTGGGGCCAGGGCTGCACTCAAGACCACTGGCCTATAGGAGCCTCCCTGAAGCCTCAGCTTACAGCTGTCCTGACGGCACCTGGGAGGCGGCCCTGGGTAGACGCAGGAGCCATACGCCCAGCCCAGCCTGCAGGCCCAAGCTTGTGACCCGATGTCCCTTAACTGCCAGTCTTCAAAGAATACGAGATATCGAGGCTAGGGAACTCCTGAAACACAGCCCTTGCCTGCCTCTGTGGGCAGAAGCAGGTTCCCAGGACCCCCACCTCCTGAGCCCCCCAGATGTGTCTCATTTTCTTACTATGGAGACAAGCAGCATGGCTGCCTGCTGCCCACCACGCCCTCCCACTCTGAGCCCCTTCCTCTGGGGCGTGATTCTCCACATCCCAACCAATAAAGCAAATGTGACACCCTGATCTTTCTGTGACCCAATCCCTCACCCCCCAACCATGGACCCTCCCTCAGCCCTCCTCCTCTCCTCAAGCCCAGCCCCTCTGTTCCACCCCAGTAGGGACGACCCAGTCCTCAGCCTCCCCTTTCTCTGCTCCCTCTGCATGACCCTGGCCCTGACCATCAGGGCATTGTTTAGGGTCCTGAGCCCCCTCCCCAGGCCTGGAAATCCCCAGGGCAGCTTAGTTATATACCCAGGAAGTGACTCATCACACCCCCATCCCCTACCCTGGAATCCCAGCCCCCGTGGGATCCTCCCCATTTCTTCACTGGGTTCTGTCTCTCCATCTCTCCCCGTCCTCGTCCTCTGAATTCAGTCCGGCCCCACGTAAGCGCCTCGTCAGTGACAACCAAGCTTTCCAGAGTATGGACACAGATGGGCCTCCAGTGGGGCCTCTACCATCTGACACCCACTCCGTGCAGTCTCGATAACACCTGCTCCGTGTAGGCTTGAGGCCCAATCTCGGGCCCTCTGGTCCTTACCCCCACCCGTGGGTGTGGCATGGCTCAAGCAACCAGCTTCTTGCTCTAGTGGCCCGGCTCCCAGCGTCACTGTGCCCACCCAATAAACATGAGGCCTACCACGTGCGGCCTGCGCCCTTGTGGCCTCCGCAAGCCATCTTGCATCTCGAGGTGGGGGCTCACAGACAGTGCCAGGGGTTCAGGGCCCATCCAGCTGCTTCCTCCCCGAGCACAGACCACCCAGACACAGAGCCCCAGAGGGAGCGCAGGGGGTTCCCCACCTCAGCACTGTTCATGTTTGTAACTGAACTGTGCACTGTAGGTGCTGAGCAGCATACCTGGTCTCTGCCCCCCACCCAACGGTTGACAACCAGAAATATCTCCAGACATCACCAAGCGTCCCCTGGGGGCAAAGTGGCCCCTGTGAGAAACACTGGTCTAGACCCTGTAACCCGCCACCTGGTGAGGGCTCTGCCTGAACTGAGTGCACCCCAACTCCATCACCCCTCCTGTAGTAACAGTAACGCCAGGGGCCCAGACCCATCTGCTCTGTGTTTTGTCCTGTCCCACAGCCCCTCACACTATCCCTAGTCAGTGCCACAGACTGTGCTCCCGGAAACCAGACCTGGCTGGCCAGGTGCTCAACAGCTGTCCCACCCGGACTCACCCTTGTCTGGGCTGTGCCAGCTGAGGGGCTCTGCCCGGCCCCCACTCCCTGCCGCCCAACCCAGCCCCTGCACCCCACCACCTGGCCCACTCTGCTCACCCTGGCTGGAGACATTCAGGCAGAAGTACATGCCATAGATGATGAACACGTACAGGGTGCCCGGCTTCATGAACATGCCTCGGTTCCGGGCTGTCTGCCGGCCGCCCCTCGAGTGTGCCGCCTCATCCTCTGGGCCCAGGTACGCCTCGGTCTCCACAATGCGGCCGCGGAGCTCCGTGTTGTCAGCAAGCCGTCGCACCAGGACCTGTAGGCCACACTCGGTCTCTGCTCGGGGTCAGGAAGGGCTGATCCCCAAACACCACCCTGACACTCCCTCGGGCCTGGTTCCCACACTGTGGCTCAGGGGTGCCACAAGGCGCCAGATTCAGCCAGGTTCCCCCACTGCCCCCCTTCCTTCTGGCAGCCACAAGGCTGCTGTCCACACCTCAGCCTCCAGCTGTCTCGTCCCAGACCACCAGTCCTGCTCACTGAGTCCTGGCCACAGGTTTGTGGCCCCCTCAAGCAAACCAGCACCTGTCCCCCTGCCTCCTCCCCCAGAGCCCCCATGAGGGACCCCAGTGCTTAGCACAGGGCTGGGTGGATAGGCACGGAGGGCGCAGCCCTGAGTGGGTCCTGAGGCCACCTAGAATCCTGCAGAGCCCGTGGAGCCCCCACCCAACAGGCTGCCGGGCAGCCACAAAGGACTCCCACATGGCTTCCGCCAGCCTGGCTCTGGAAGGCCGCCTGGGTTTCCAAGCCTTTTCAAAGAGCCTTTCTGAGTAGGAGAACCAGCTGTCCCCACGGTGCCCTGGTCAGTGTGGGTAGAAGGGGTGGGGGAGCCAGCTATGGTCCACTCACTCAGACCACACCTGGGTCAGGCAGGGAGACGCCTGTCCCTTGGGATCGACAAGCTCCCAGCCCAGCTCGGGGGCTATCACTGGAGGGCCAGGACTCTCGTGCCAGCAGAACACCCTGGAAAACAGCCCAGGGATGGCTGGAGGCTGTGCCCAGTCCCAGGAGCCGCAGGGCCTGACTCTGCCGGGGGGGTTTGTAGTGGAGCCTCGGGGCTGGCCCATGGCCCCAGGGGCATCCCCACCACCCACCTCGTCCTTAGGCCACATCATCAGCCAGAGGCCAGGTCAGCCCATGCTGCAGCCCAGGGAGCCCCGTGGGGCTTGTGTCATGGGACCGGGAGGAGGGCTCAGTGGGGGAAGCAGTCTGGGAGACCTTCCTGGAGACAGCAGCACCTCCACCAAGAAGACAAAGAGTGGGGAGAGGTGGGGGTTGATGTCTCCACCGGAAGCCAGCAATCTCCTTGTGCATCCAAAGTGGGAAAGACGCGCGCAAACACATTTGGGCTTTTCCAGACCATCTCTTCAGGAGCCTTGGGATGAGGGTTCCTCACGTGGCATCAACCTGGGATCCATGTGCTCCTGCCATGCCTTTCTGAGCCACACGGGGCGGTCCCACTTCCAGAGGGGCTCCCTTGGCCCCATCCTGGTTTTCTGCTCTGAATTTCACCCTGATGTCACCACACACAACTTCCTGCTGGGATGGGGAGCCCAAGAGTCCTGGGTCCTGGGGGAAGTCACCCTCTCCTCAGCCCCAGATGGGTTGCCACAGCAACTCATCCTCCTTGCAGATGACCTGCTTCCTGCATGAGTGGTGACCTGATCTTGGCTGAGTGAGGGTCTGAGAAGGTCTGGAAGAGGCCGTCCTGCTTGTTTCAAAAGGGCCCTTCGGGTGAAGCACCCTGTTCTTTTCTGGACGTGATGGGGAGACCCTGCCAGCACACCAAGGGCAGCTGCACAGAGACTGATCTTGGTCCTCGACAGCTTGCCTGAGTTCTTGGTCAATCCCAGGACTCACCTGCCTCCACGTATCTTTTTATGTGAGATCATAAACCCCCTATGATTTAAGGTGCTTTCAGAAGGGTCTTCTGGTCCTTGCAGCCTAAAGCTTCCTCCAGGGACAAACTCTGCTCCCTCCTCCACTCAGCCAAGTCCACATTTTAGGGTCTGGTCCTTTCAGCACCCAACTCCTGGCATCAGTTCTACTATCAGTCACAGAAACCAACCCTCCTTAGCTATTTTAACCTAAAAGTAGGTCAGGGCACCTCTAGGACGAGAGGGCCAGGCCTGGGGCTTTGGTATCAGGAATAACAACCAACTGGTTCTCCAGACTGATCCAGAAAAGGCTCTGCTGCTGCTGGCACACGCCGCCATGTGTGTTCATGCACGATGACAACCACATAGCAGATACCACTGGGACAGACCCTGGAGACTGCAGCTGGGATGGGCCCTGGGTGGTCCCCATCTCCCACTCCAGGCCTGGAGAGGGCACATCTGATGGGTGAGCCAAGATCCGGGACCAGCGTCTGAGCTGCTGGGTGGCTCCTGCCCTGTCTCAAGGCAAATTCAACGCGTGAGCCCAGTGTCAGTCACAGCCACAGTTCTCACACGTGTACAAACTGACACTGTGGATGCAAATGAGCCTCAGACGACACTTACGTGGGGGCTGCGGAGGAGCCAGGGTGGGCAGAGGCGGCCCCTCACAGGTGCCGGAGGTTCTGGTCCTGGCAAGAAACCTGTCCTGAGGGAGACCCAGGTGGACCAGCAACAGATGTGGCATCGAGTCACACGAGGACCAGGAGGGACCACTGTGGGCCCAGTCGGGGCGGCCGGCCTCTGGCCTCAAACATAAGCCTGGCGGTGAGAGCCGGGCCACGGACACCTACGTGGTGACGACTTCTTCTGCAGAGGCCGCATCTGCCCAAGAAGCCATGTGTGCATTACCTGTCCCAGAAGCGCCCGCGCCAGACGAACTCCTGGCTGATCGAAAAACTCAGATCCCAGTCGGGCAGGATGGTCCTTTGGGCTCAAGAAATAGATGCTGCGCTGGGGGCCTGTAGTAGCGGGCGGACCCAAGCAGGTGTGTGGCCCCGAACAGGGCTCCTCGGGGGAAGGCGTCCTGGCCACGTCAGGCAGGCTCCGGCTCCTCTCTGCCTCTGATAAGCGTTGCTTCTTTTGTCCCACCCTGCGGGAAAGCTGTAATGGGAAAGAAAACAGAAGCACATTGTCTAAACGAATGAAGACAGGTCGGTGTACGGTGGAGAACCAGGCTTGGGGCCCTTGAGGACTGGATTCAACAGCCCTGACTCAGTTTCCTCATCTGCAAAGTGGGGCGACCACCTCACGAGACTGTTACGAGGCGCAAACAGAATGCCACACCTGATGTACGTGGCCCAGGGCTGGACACCGGCAGGCCCTTGGGCAATGATCATGCGGACAGGCAGGCAGCAGCAGGGTGGCCACGATACTCCACGTGTGAAACGGCCTTGGCTGGAGGGAAGGCTGAGCACCTCGCACACGGGAGACACAGCGCAAGGCCATGGGCTGCAGAACCTGGGAGGGGGCGATCATGCCCCTAAGGCTCTGGGCTTCTCAGAGGGCGGTCACCCTGAGCCTCAGGCAGCAGGGCTGGACCCCCTCTGCTTTCTACTCCTCATGCAGCCCTAGAGCAAACTTCCTGAGCTTGTTTCCTGAACCTTGTCCTTTGCCCCCAACCCTGACCCAGAATTTAAAAATACAGACTGCTGGTTTCCGGTCCAGCATGTCAAGAGCTGAGAGGTCATCACTCCCGTGCCCACAAGAAGAGAAAAGCTGAAAAACAAAATCAACAACTCTTCTTAGATCCATTAGAGAACGGAGACCACGGGGCAAACCACCCCCCAGAAAACTGGACAGACAGACAGATATAGAGAATGACCGCTTACCAGGACTAGAAACCGCCGGCTCCAGCCTCAGCAGAGGGCAGGACACTTAAAGGGTGACTGACTAAGTGCTGGAGAGGAAAAGTTCCCGGAGGCCCAGACTTAGCCCCCAGGCTTCCGTGAGAAGGCTCCAGGAGCTCCACGGGGTTCTCAGCTCACAGAAAAATCCCGTCTTGTGTCCAGAGGGTGGGGTGAGGGGAAAATAACCATTCGGAAATAATGCTCTCTGAACAACCGACTGCCCTGAAGGCCAACTACTTGACCAGAGCCAAACCTTCGTGGGTTTTTTTTAATCAGATCCTAATGGACACAGAAGGGAAATACCCAACTCCAGCCCCCTCTAGCCTTCCTGTTTCACCCAGGGAATGAAGGCCACAAAAAGCTGAGAAACACTTGTGAAGGTCACAGCCAGGGGCAAAGGCTCACTAAAAGACTGCGACCTAATCATAGGGTTACAGAAAGCTTCCTCGCCCTCCACACCTTGCCAGCACATCAACACCAACATCAACGGAGGTTTACAGGAGATTACAACGAGAAGAACTTGATATGTGATGTCTGGATTTCAGCTGCTGAAACCTGTTCGGCATCACAGCAACACACAAGCCTCCACTGATAGGCAAGTGGCAGCCGCACTTGAGGTGCGCCGGCCAGGAATCCAAACCAAGTCTCCTGCGTGGAAGGTGAGAATTCTACTGCTGCCCTCTTTGTTCACGGACAGGAAGACTTCATATTACTAAGTCAGTTATTCCCAATTTGATTTATAAATTCAACGCAATCTCAATCAAAATTCCAGCAAGTTATTTTGTGGATAAAATTGATGCCAAAGTTTATATGGAAAGGCAAAACACCCACGACTGCCAACACAATACTGAATAAGAACAGAGTTGGAGAACTGACTCTACAGTAACATTGTGGTATCTTCCCACTACTCACTGCCATCAAGTCAGTTCCGACTCACAGCGACCCCACAGGGTTTCCAAGGCTGTAAACCTCTACAGAAGCAGACCGCCACATCTTTCTCCCGCGGAGCCGCTGGTAGTTTTGAACCACCAACCTTTCGGTTAGCAGTTGATTGCTTTAACTACTGTGCCACCAGGGCTCCTTAGTGTGGTTGTTAGTGAACCAAAAAAACCAAACCCGCTGCCGTTGAAATAGACAAATAGATCACTGGAACAGAACAGAGAGCCCAGAAATAGACTCAGACAGTACAGTCCACCTATCTTGAATAAAGGAGCAAAGGCAACGCAATGGAGAAAGTTCTTTCAACAAATGGTGTTGGAACAATTGGACATCTACGTGCAAAAAATGAATCTAGACACTGACCTTACATCTTTTACAAGAAGTAACTCAAAATGGTTCATAATCAAAACAACCTGGCACTGTTACAAAGGACAGACATATATACCAACGGAAAAGAATTGAGAGTCTAGAGATAAACCAATACATCTATGTGCAACTGATTTTCAAAAAGGATGCCAAGTCCCCTCAGTGGGAAAAGAATAGTCTCTTCAATAAATGGGGCTTTAACAATGATCTCCATATGTAAAAGAATGAAGTCGGACACTTACCAGACGCCGTATAGCAAAATTAACTAAAAATGGATCAAAAAAGCCAAACCCATTGCTGTTGAGTTGATTCCGACTCATAGGGACCCTACAGGACAGAGTAGAACTGCCCCATAGGGTTTCCAAGGCTGTGATCTTTACGGAAGCAGACTGCCACATCTTTCTCCCAAGGAGCAGCTGGTGAGTTCCAACTGCTAACCTTTCAGTTAGCAGCCTAGCACTTAACCACCGTAACACCAAGGCGCCTTAAAAAAAATGGATGAATCACCTCAACGTAAGAACTAGAACCATAAAAACAAAACTAGAACTTAAGCGGAACCTGCATCTCCCTCTGCACATGACAGGCTCATTGTCAATAACATTAGGTGCTGAGGTTCCACCATGGACCCAGAGGGTCCAGGCCGCCAGGAACCAACGCTGATGTGACTGCCTCTGCATCCCGGCCTCTCTGCCAACGCCGTGAGCTCCGACTCCCTGGAAGCTCTGGCCCCTGCTCCACTCATGAAACGGCTCAGGCTGGAGGGAAGGCTGAGCACCCACCTGCCCCAGAGCGCCCGACGCTCGGGTCTCTGCTCCGGACTCTGCTCGGGGGCTGAGGCTCCGCCAGGCCGCAGCCTCCCCCGTCCCACACCTGGCATTCGAATCTGCCTGCAAGTCCTGGGCAGTCTGGGGCAGGGGTTTGGAGAGGCCACAACCTGAACTGTGCGCCTGGGCTCCTCGCGGGCGCACCTCCCAGGCCTGGCGCTGGTGAGAAATGCAGGCTTATGAGAGAGGGGCCCCGGGAAATGCCACCAGGCGTCCGTGCCTGTTTCCTCATCTGCAAAAACGGGGGAACCACGTCGGCCGCCCGACATGGTTCTGAGAATAAACTGAGAAGACCTGCTGCACCCCTGGCTGGACGTTAGGAAGAACCAAAGCGAACCCTCCGGTGGGGAAGCCTCGGAGAGAAACCCAGGGCCGAGGTGGACCGGACTGCAGAGACGGTCCCGTCAGCGTTCATTCCCTGCAGCCTGGCCGTTCTGGGTCCGCCCAGGGGGCGCCTGGCCCCAAAACTGCTGAGGGTGTGTCGTCAGACGTGGGGCAGCAGAACTTCCGGGGGTAAAACCCTACCGGTGCCCCCCAGCGAGGCGCCAGGGCGCACAGACCTGGTCTCGCACTCACCTGAGCCCCGCTGCGCGCGGGCATCAGGTGGCTACGGCGGTCGGGGGCCCCTGGCGCGGAGCCCACCCCCGAGTCGAACCCGGAACACACGCAGCTAAGACGTCCGCCGCGACCGCAGCTCCGGAAGCGCCGCCGGGGCCGGGGGTGGAGTCGACGCCTGCGCGGCGGGGCCGCAGGCCGGAGGCAGGGCCGCACGCTGGGCGCCGACTCCGCCTCAGGGAGGGGCGGTGCCTGTGGGCGGAGCCTTACGGAGGCCTGTGGGCGGGGACTGACTGAGCCTCCAGCCCCGGCCACCCCATCGTGATGCGAGGGGAGGAAGGAGCGGTGGGCGGGGTGAGATCCCTGCCTTCCCCGCCCAGTGACCCGCCCCCCACCTGTGACCGGGTTTCCCCACATCCTCAGAGCCCACCCTACCCGCAGCCCGTGGTCAGACCACCAAGAGAACCGGTCCAACATGAACCTTGACCCAGTCTTCGAGGGGCCTTGTTCGGGGATGTCATGGCTTTGGGGGGGGTAGGTTGCAGAGCGTTCCGAGTGTTCAGTGGGTGCTGTGAGCAGCTCCAGGAGGGCTAGAGTGGGAGGTGGCGTTTGGGGACAGAGGACAGGTTTAGGGGCATAGTAGGCTGGGGATACCCTGTCTAGGAAGTGTATGGGAGGCCTGACCAGAAGCCCCCACGCGAGTCAGTGGTCATAGGCCAGCCAGAGGAAAGAAAGAGGGCGCAGCAGGGTTCTGTCTCCCCGGGGAGCCCCGACCACTCCTGCCAGCCAAGGATCCTGGGGAAGCCAGGTCCATGTTCCGGGGGTGACCTGTGGGATCGCCACCTCTCCGCTCATCTGGCTGTCTGAGGCCTGGAGCAGGGCTGTGGGAGCTGCGCATCCCACCTAGCAGACCAGCACAGGGGTGCAGTCTGGGGAGGGTACCACCCCCCCACCTCTGACACCCCCTCCCCACCACCCAGGCATCCCCCACTTCTGCCCTGGCTTTACTGGCAGCAACCTCCCAAATCAAGTCACCCCCACTTGGGGTGGTAGCTGGGAAGGGCAGTGCTGGGCCCAGAGGAAGGAGGCCACCATGGTGGAGTTTCAGGCACAGAGCTGGTTTGTGGGGATGCCCCAGGAGGGAGGGAGGCATTCCCCACCCCTGCCTTTCTGGGCCCCGCAGCTGGGACAGGCACAGTCCCACCCTGGCACCCCACTTCTCAGTCCTCTGAGGGGCTTGTACCGAGCTGTCTTTGATTTCTGTGACACTGGGTGGGGGTGGGGGGGTACCTGCTGGGCAGGGCAGCCCAAGGGGCCTTGGAGAGCATCGGCTGGTGTTGGGTGGGAGATGTTGGGAAGGACAGACAGATAGGCCCATGTCAGATGGGCCTGGCGCCTGGTCCCATGTCAAGGCCAGCAGGGCAGGACCCTGGTCTCCAAAGGCTCCAGTCCAGGCCAGAGTCCCAGCTAGCTCACCCCAGCAGTCCCACCCCGGAGGCCCCAGCGAGGACTTCCTGGGGAGGGAGGGGCAGTGCCTGCTGGAACCCGCCCAGCTGTTTGTGGCACTGTGTGCCGCTTCCCATGGTGGGGGGTGGGGGGTGGGGGTGGGGATCAACAATGTGTCCTAAACCCTGGGCTTCTGAGGCAGGCTGAACGTGACCCCTCCCCACCTCCTTGCTCCCCCCTACAGCCATTCTGCCCCAACAATGCCACACCCCCTTCCTGTGGGCCCTGCCTATGGGAGGGAAACTGAGGCCAGGTGTTCAACAGGCCTGGCCTGTCTCCCTGGTGAGGGCACGGGGAGGGCGACTGTTCTTTTGTACTCGTTTTTTTTCTGATTTCACAAGTGGTGCACGTTCCTCGTAGACATCCGGATTCTCTTCCTGGAGGACCCGGACACAGCCGGAGGCCTGAGGAGAGGCTGGGCCGAGGGAGGCCTGACAGGGCCTGAGGCGGGGGCAGTTCTCCAGATGGGCCGGCGCCTGGGGGCTTTCGCAACATCTGGCCCCTGCCCCCACTTCCTGGTTTGCGGTCTGGGGCCCCCACAACAGACTGGAAGTGGTAGGCTGAGTGTTCCCACTGTGGCCTGGAGGGCGAGCCAGCTGGGGTGCGGGGAGGTGGTGCAGGCCAGCGGCTGGCCCTCCTCTGTCCTCTGGGTCCAGGCGGGGAGAGGTGTAGAGGAGGAGGCAGTGGAAGACGGAGGTGAGAACACTTCAGGCTTTGGAAATCTAGATGTGAGGATGGGGCCTGTGGTTAGCGCTGGAGTCAACCTGAGCTTCTCGGCAGGGTGGCTGCTGGCACCCTGAGTGTCTGGGCCTTTGTGGCACACTCTATCTGCTGGGCCCTGGGGAATCAGGGGCTCCTTGGACAGAGGGGGCAGCCACTGTGCTGCCAATGCTGCTGGACCCTGGGCACAGGTGCTCAGAGGACCCCCCCCCCCCCGCCATGGCCAGTCAGCCAAGGGGGTAGTTGTCTCGGAAATAGCTGGTGACTTCAGGCCTTTGGCTGGCCCGGCCCACCTCTGCCTCCTCCCCAAATAGCCAGGGTTGGTCCCAGTCGACCCTGCAGCTTTGCCTCCTGGGGTGATGCAGTGTGGCCTGGAAGCTGAGCCAAGGATTCCAGGGTGGCCTGGAGCTGGGGTCCAAGAGCTCGAGGGCGGTCCGCACGTCTGTCCTGCAGCGCCACGTCTTCAGGGTCTCGTGCAGGGTGAATAGAGGGGCGTGCGTGCACGTCCAAGTCGGGTCTCCTGCACCAAGCTGTGGGCGCCTGTAGGGCAGGCATAAGGCACCGAGACAGACTGCACGCAGACGCGCGGCCCCTGTGAGGACAAGGGAGTGGGAGGGCCTTCGGAGGCCCCCAAGTCAATGCCGGGGCAGCTTGTGTTCCTGTCTCTGGATGCAGATGACCCTTCCCTGGGACGGGGCAAGGTTGAGCAAGGCAGCCCTCCACTGAAGGTAGCTCCTGGGGAGGCCCCACTGAGCACCAGCGGAGGTGGGTGCTCTGGTCTCACCGTGGAGGGGTGGAGGGGCATCCCTGCTTGGGAGACCCTGCCACCACAGATTTGGAAGTGAGCTGGTCCTGGAGAGCTGGCACCGCTCACCGGCCTGCCCATCACGTTTGTCACCTTGTCTGGGCACCTAGGCCACACAGGAAGTCATCCCTGGCAGGGCTGAGAATACTCGGCACAAGGACTGTCCTGCCTCTGGCCGAGAGGGATGTGCCTGAAGCCACAGGAGCAGGCTCCGGCCTGCTAGTTGTCACCCCTTCACCCCCTGAAGATTTTCTCTCTCATTCTAAGAATCAAGTGGATACTGTTCGAGTTCTTGGTGC